TTCCACTCCGGAGTCATCCGAATCCGCCCGTTCTAACACATAGCGGAGGAACATGCAGCAGTTGCAGAGAGTGATCGCGCATGGATGACTTGTGGATTCTGGAGCATCATCTCATATCTGCGCGAATCGACACTGGTTCTCAACATACTCACCTCTTCACCCTCCCCATCCCATCTACTTAGGCGACAAGCACACTCTCTTCGCTACTGGCCAGGGGCAAATCGAAGTCATCCTGAACAATGGAACTGATGATCGCCACGTCATCATCAGTAATGTACTCTACTGTCCCAAGATCGGCACTAACCTCCTATCCGTAACATACCTGACATCCGTTGGAGCTCAAGTACAGTTCTCCACCAACAATTGCCGAATTCTCAACCCAAATAACGAACTTCTCGGTATCGCGAAAGCTTCTGGCGGTCTCTACCAACTGCCTTGCATCGTGGCCGGATTGGAATCCGCTTTCATCTCCAAATCTCTTGTGGACAGGAATGTGGATACCACACTGGTTGCCAGAACAACCACGGCAACAGCATCTCTTGATGTCTGGCATGCCCACTTAGGACACATCTCGACTCAGTCATGTCAGGGACACGTCTGGGGTGGAGGGGGCCTGGCTGTAGCGCCCGGCAGAGGGACCCTCTCGGGGGACGAAGCAGGCCCGCGTACTGAAGGGCCCGATCTGGGACTGTAGTCCCTGGCCACTTAGACTGAAGTGGAAAACGTGAATTGTTATTAAAAGGAAGAACTACACTACTTACCTGAAGTGGAAAACGTGAGAAGAAGGTTACTTCTTCAGTTCCCACTTCAGGTACATTTATGTACATGCGGCTTGGGTCACATGACGGGTGCCACGTCATCTACGGAGAGAGCTGCAGCCATCTGGGTATCCCCGCGGGGGATCCTGAGGGCATCCGCTGCAGGTGTGTGTGCTAGGCGTAGCGGGAAGTCGTCCGGGGTGTCCGAGCCGGACAGGTCAACAGTACAATGATACAAGGGAAGGTGGTCCGTGTAAATAGAAAGAATAAACAGAAAGGGAGAATGAAATAAAGGAGAAAGAGAAAAGAGGGAAAAGGGGGGAAAGGGAGGAAGGAGGGAGGAGGAAGGATGGGTAGCGGGGAGCGGGTGAGGTGGGCCCGGGTGGGCCCAGGTGGAACCGGGTCAGGCGGGTGTGCCCTGACAAGTCAATACTGAAGATGGTCCGTAGTGGGATGGCCACAGGTATGGAAGTAGTTGGAGATGGGAAGGGAGGTTCGACCTACTGCGAAGAATGCAAGGCCTCAGGACATACACGTTCCCCCATTCCCAAACAGACACTCACCCGTTCAAACGAAGTTCTTGGACATGTGTTCTCCGATGTTTGCGAAGTCCAGACTGTGACTCGTGAAGGATATCAGTACTGTCATATCCATCCCTGGCCATCGACTTCCACTCCCTCTGATCCCTCCGGTCTACCTCCGCTCCTTCTTCACTAACCTCGGAGCTCCTGTATTCCGCAATCACCTTGGTACCCCTCGATGGTCACCACCCCCTCTTTTCAATTTATTACCTACGCCTCCCTAAGTATGGAGCCCCGAAGGCCTCCAGACAGCTCCAACGTCCGCTAGCACACTCCCACCTCTGCTGGGCAATACACTTGCTTGCCCTGCAAGCCCACCTTCGGGCCTATCCCTCCTTTCCGTTTCTGGGTTATCGCCTACCATTCCATTAACCCCGTAACCCGACTCATCGGTAATATTCAATTGGCTAATGTCTAAACCCCATTAGCTCCGCTCCGCTTGGCTCCGCCATTTGCGGGCCCGCCCTCGTTGTAACTATATATATACTCAACTTGTACATAGGTTACACCTCAGTAATAAAATCAACTAGAGTTTACCCCCTTCAGTTCTGGTTGCCAGTTTAGTAAGTTAGGGCATGGACGTGTTACTTGGCACAGCGCTCCTGGCATAAGTCGCTGAGGCTGAAGCCCTCCGCCACGGAGACACTCCTTCGTCTCAACCTGGTCTCTGACAGGTACTTCATCACCTTCATTGACGACCACTCCCGATACCTGACCGTCTACCCGATCAAAAAGAAAAGCGATGCACTCGAAACGTTCAAAGATTTCTTGGCCCAAGCTGAACAGCAATCAGGGAAGAAACTAAAGATCCTGCGCACTGATGGCGGTGGTGAGTATTTCTCCAATGAATTCTCCCATTACCTCAGGGAGATTGGTATTGTCCACGAGAAAATGAATCCCAATACACCACAAGAAAATGGCATCGCCGAGAGAGTTAACCGAACACTTGTCACAATGACGATCGCCATGCTCGAAAGCGTGAAGTCGCATGTGGGTTGAACAGCTTGGCCTTATGCACTTCAACATGCCATGCTCATTAAAAACATCATTCCCCACTCCACACTCCCCGATGGCATCTCTCCACACGAACTCTGGACGGGAAATAAGCCATCAGTCTCCACCATACGTACCTTTGGCTGCAAAGCCATGCTTGCTATCCCTGAAAAGCAACGGGACAAGCTTGCCCCTAGGTCTATCACAGGAATCCACTTGGGTCTTGCTGTCAGCAAGAAGGCATTCGTGATCTATGAGCCTGAAGCCCGCAAGGTTCACGAATCTCGCGATGTACATTTCTTCGAGGAGTCTCCCGAACCCGAACGCATTACAATTGAATCCTCTGTCATAGAGCTGTCATCGCACATTGTTGATAAGGATGAAGAGGCAAGAGGAAATGATAGGTGATGGAAGAATGGGAGGAGAGGAGATTGGAGATAAGATCGATGAAATGGATGATGGCGAGGAGGGACAGGGTGATGAACTCTTAGGGGGAGATGCAGAGGATGAGGTCATCCCAGAAGCTCCCCGACGATCAACGCGCAAACGGTGTACGCAAATCCGAGATGACGATGACCGTTATTTTGTCACTTCCTACAATCGGGCCAATCAGCCTGTAGACACCCAACCAGTGGGCATCGAACATGCTCACATAGCACAAACTGAAGTGCCACTCACCTATAACGATGCCATGAACAGGCCCGACTCCGATGCGTGGCTTGAAGCCTGTCAAGACGAACTGCTATCCCTCAAAGAAACCCGGATGTACGTTCCAGTTAAAACTGATGAGGTTGAGGTTCGTAATATCGTCGGGTGTCGTTGGGTATTTGCGTTAAAGAAAAAGGCTGATGGAACGATCAAGCGCTATAAAGCTAGGATTGTGGCCAAAGGTTTTGGTCAAGTTTATCACATCGATTACAATGAGACATTCGCACCTGTTGTCAAATGGGTCTCAATCCGGATTCTACTCGTTATCGCTGCGCGGCTCAATCTTGAAGTCCATCAGATGAATGTTAAAACCGCGTTCTTGAATGGCGACCTAGAACACACTATCTATATGAAGCCACCAGCGGGCTGCGCTGATTATGGGAAGGACGACATGATTTGGAAGTTAGAGAAAAGTTTGTATGGGCTGAAGCAGGCTTCCAGAGCCTGGTACGAGAAGGCGAAAGAGGAGTTCAGGAAACTCGGGTTTCTCCGATGCGACTCTGATCATGCTGTGTTTGTTCAACATGGGAAGGGGAAGATCTTCTGTATCATCACGCTCTATGTCGATGATCTCATGATTCTGTCTAACAGCCTCAAACTACTCAGCCACCAAAAGGCCCAACTCATGAAGGCATTCAATATGAAGGACCTTGGTGAGATCAACTGGTTTTTAGGACTCAAGATCACTCGCGATTGACCGCAGCACTTAATCTATATCTCCCAGTCACGCTATGTTAAAGACATCCTCTCTCGTTTTAATTTCACTAATTCTCGCCCTATTTCGACTCCAATTGTGTCCAATTTTAAGTTACCCCGACTCGATGCACCCGAAGTCAATATCCGCGATTATCAATCTCGTATCGGCAGTGTAATGTACGCCATGTTAGGTACACGTCCTGACATTGCATATGCAGTGGGCGCTCTTAGTCAGTATTCCGCGAATCCCGGAAAGGATCACCTCATTGCCATCAACCACGTCTTCCGGTATCTCAATCACTCACAAAACTATAAGTTAGTTTACAACGGTAAGACACACGACAATGACTTCACAGGGTACTCCGACTCCGATTGGGCTGGTGACCCACACGATCATCGATCTATTTCCGGGTTCATGTTCAAGATCACAGGAGCCGCTGTCTCATGGAGCTCGAAGAAGCAGTCTTGAACAGCACTTTCGAGTACGGAGGGAGAATACATGGCATTGACACACATGTCTAAAGAGGCCATATGGATACAACAATTCCTTGGTGATGTCCTCAGTCCACCTTCCATCCCACACACTATTCTCGGTGACAACCAAGGTGCTCTTGCCTTAGCTGCCAATCCCACCTTCCACGCTTGTACTAAACACATACACGTTAGGCAACACTTTATCTGCGAATGCGTCAGTAATGGCGATGTCAAGCTCGATTACGTTCCAACAGGTGATCAGGTGGCCGACGTTCTCACTAAGGGACTCGCACTGGCCAAACATGACAAATTTACGAAGGACATGGGTGTTATCGATGTTAATCATCATTGAGTGGGCGTATTAGAACACCAACTTTGTTTACATCGGGAAGTTGTGTGGCAGTTATTCGTAGCGGTTATTCTGGGGCGCTATGAGGCATTGGGGGCGTTTTGCCCTTTCTTATTCAACTTAAAACTCCCTTTGTACGACGATGTTGCCACTCAGGAATGTCGCGTATATAAGGGAGGAATTTCTTAGACTTTCTCCCTCAGAACTCTTATTCGAGTCTGAGGTGAGAACTATTTCTCAGTATTTTATCTTATAACTCATGTATAATTCTTGTCGCAGTCTAACGCGACATAGGTATTTACAATACAGAACTCTTATTCGAGTCTGAGTCTAACGCGACATAGTCTTAATCCTAATAGGGTATGTGTTCTCTGTGACGTATTTGCTTATGTAAAGGCTCCATGTGCCGAGGCTGCCGTGGATTTCAAATCCATTGTGCGCCCGCGCGCCCCGATCCACATCCTAACCTCCCATTTCATTGTGACGTACATATCTTATTTGCCGATTCCGTGCTACGGCACACTCGCCGAAGCAGTTTTGTACGTACTCGGCCGCATCCTGATAATATTAATCGTGTTGGGATATATGACGATACCTGAGCCCAAGGTGTATTGATATTAACTGGGTCGACTTCAGGCTCAACCCCCAAGCCAATCCGATCTACCATTACTCGCTCCTCTCGGACGTCGTCACATCCAGATACTCGCACAATGAAGACTAGCATCTTGACCTCCATCCTTTCCGTCGGTTTTTTCCTCCTCATCTCCCCAGCTCTCGCCCTTGTCGGCAGCTTTCCGCACCCACAACCGTTCTCCACCCAGGTCATAAATTCACCGTAACATTCCATACATCCCTCTACATCCAAAACAACCTCCAATTCTACGCTCTCTTCGGGATATGGCCTTCACCAGGCTTAGGCGAATCATACTTGGGAATTCCTATTCCAGCTGTTGCCCCTGTCCCTGGTGCAGATGGTGGACTAGGATTAGGTAACTTTCGAGTTGGACCCAGTGGGAAGGGAAAATTGGGCATCGATGTTGGTGGGATCGATTTGTGGGAAGCAACGTTAGCGAACACTGGGTCGAAAGCTTACAACGTGACGTTGAGATTACCTGTGGATTTGACGACGCCAGGAAATCGAACGACGAACTATACACTTCAAACGGGTGTGCTTGGGACGGTATGTTATTACTCCCCGCTTATTTCCGCCGGCTTCACGCATTTGTAATTAACACATCATATCTCTTTCCCTTCCTACCATTATTGCGTTCAAATCCTCACACTCAACCGCGTCATGTTTACCGGCTGCCCAGGTGGGAGCATCCGGACTGACAACGCTGTCCTTTCATAACACGACAATCAGGATCAAGTCTCCCTAATCTCCCGGTGGTCCCCAATGATATCGACCCAATCAGCCATGTCGCATCGATTCCCCTTTCGTCGTCGTCGGAATACTATGTGTAGATACCAGCTTCCTATATGCAGTTCGTTTAGTCCTTAGACTCAGAGACACACGATTGGCACGCCCCTCATGAGACCCCTTTCCATCACTCACAAACGGGATGGACGTTATATTCGGATTCCTCTGTATACACTTGTGTAGCTACATTGGCTCGAAAGAGACTCAGATGCATTGGACGATGTTTTTCTGGACTGCCTAAATTTTGGAATTAGAGTGCCCTGGGGATAACGGTATTATATTGGCGTAGGTGATTGCCATGGTGCAGTGGTGCAGTTCGTTATACCCCTCGTACAAGTCCAACAGCGAATGCACACACCGAGCGCTCTGGGCGAATTATTCCTACTTCCAATACCCAGAATCGGTCAGATCCTTCGGGATGGGACCGTCATCCTTATTCTTATGTCGTTGCCTTAACTTCCAGTGTTATTTCTCACGCACCAGTCCTCCATGCTCAGATGTGTGAAGGAGCGCATCTCTGGGTCATTGGGCCTGAGAGAAGAGGGAAGAGTGATCATAGCCGAGTGGCGAGAGGATTCGCTTGGTAAGGGAGGGATGTGTCTTTGCGCATGTGTACGTGTGATAATGCAGTCCGGGTAACCCCATCAGAGGACGATGCAGAAGTTATTCCGCGGATGGAAAAGGGATGAGGGAACAGATAGCTGATGTCTGAAGAATTGTGATAGTATTCTCGGATGGGCGAAGATCATGGCTAGTAGAGGAAAGCGAATGTATTTACCAAGCCTCACGACGACGGACGTGTTGAGGCGCGGACAAGACACCTCTAGTTAGAAGTAGGTTCGAAACCAGAGGTGTTTTGTCCGCGCCTCATCATCGGTACAGACTGCTACTGTGCAGGATACAGTATCAGCTGATGGCGCGAGAACTGACTGCTGCGGCCGAAATGTCGGTGGGGCGAATCGACGGAGCCCTCCACTAGTTGTAGTCACCCAGCCTTGATCGGAGTTCGCAGTCAAATTCGTTTTTCATGAAGAACATCATAACGGAGTACGTGTAATGATAATACAGCACTAGAGTTTTGGGTCGCTAAAAATCCCGCACCTTTGTTACACGAACAGCCGATGCATATTTGACCTCGGATCCGGGAGTCTCTGCCAGGCCTTTGCGTGGGTCCAACTGCACAACGAAAGGGTTCACCTCCTCCCCCATTTTGTCGGACAAAGCCCGGTCCGTCCGGGGCGACGATTGGTTGAAGAGGGCGGTGAACTGCAAGCTAACCCCTTCGATCACAGGGTACGTGGCGCATGTGTGCCCTCGAGCATAGATGCACCATCGAGGGGGCTCCTCGTCTTGGGTGGGCATATAACCTCCCCATCCATGGCTGGGGACGTGCGGTTGTTGCGCAGGCCCAAGAGCGAGTTGACACCGTTTTCCTGCCGTTGATCCAAAACCGCAGTTAGTGCCCAGATCCATGAACGACACCACAGTCGACTGAGGCCTCTGGCCTTCGATACGAGGTCCAGCAAGCTCTAAGGGAAGACCAGAAGTAGATGCATCAACACGCAGCTCCGATCGCCAGGCTATGTAATTGAACCATTTCAATTCAAATGGGTCATCAAGCGCTCCACTGTAGGTAACAATGAACCCGTCGATACATTGAAATGCGGCACCACGGCACCACGCCTTGCAGAGGAAATCAAACGACAAATTGTCAACGTCTTCCGTCAGCTGAACGATGTGCGTAAAGTTGATATGGGCATTGTCCATTTCGTTCAAGAACTGGAGGCTCTGATCATTGGGGAGCAATCCGAGATTCTCACCAAGGGGGGTGGTCAAGAACACTTTTGACGATATCGTAGGGACCTGCTGAATGCTCTTGAATGCACTTGCCCAATCCGGATCGAAGTTCCTATCTCCCGCTCATGGGATGTCGATAGTAGCACTTCAACGGATGATTAAGGCTCAAGATGAATTTCCCATCGAAGGATTTGGCTTTTGGTTCTTTTTCCTCGATACGGGTCCCACGATTGCCGAGTTTTTTCACCCATGTCGCGAAGCATCATTAACTCGGCACCCTGATCTCATAACGCTCCCACCTTGGCCATATTTAGCATTTGATGTGATGGCACACTCACCAGCAAGGACTCCCAGAGGGGCATTGTCGTTTAGCTATTTAAAGAATTACGGCCGCCCGGTACGCCTCTTTAGCCCTACTCCATTCCCACTTCTAATCGTATGGAACATTGCATCGTGTTTGGCTTCAGTACTGGTCCACGTATGCTGCAACTAATTTCCCGTCCGCTACCAGGAGGAAACTGTACATGTGTTCAAGGTCACCATATCTTAATCCCATCGATATTGACCATGTTCTTGCAACATTCCCCCAACGAAGCTGGATCTATTCTTGCTGCCTCAGGCGTCCGCAGCCATATGCGAATCCAGAGGGACATCGTTGGCTGTTCGCGTATTGAAGCTGTCACCCCTTCCGAGCCAGCACTGGCGGTCGCAGCCATGAAGGAGCTAATGGCATCGCAGGAAACATACAAGAGAGCCCTTGAGACATTTGTTGATAACCTGATGATCAACGGATCCATCCTCAAGCGAAGTCGTCAAGCTGAATTGTTCAGCTGCATTCTGTTGACTCTTGCGCGAATCTCGACGGCAAGTTTGAGCGTTGAACTCCGAGATATAATGTTTGGGCACTCGTCAAATGCAGCGATGAACTTGTCGTACCCGAGACACTGGAGATCTATCGCCAGATTCTTCGTCGCTTCCAAGCAAAAGTGTCGGCACAGCTCCTTATGCCATTCATCGATCTCATTAAGGTCTTTGTCCTCGATAATCGTTTGTCGTCAGGTCATGGCATTGTTGCAAGAGACCGATTAGCTGCCTCGAAAACTGACTCAAACGATACCCCACGTACATGACCAGGCAGACATTTGCGTCTCAAGACCGTCATTTGCATCACGACCGAGGCGTTCGTAGACCGACCTAAAAAATGCCCCGATAAGGGCAGCAGCCATTTCCTAACGGGATGGGTCAGTGCATTGCCTTAATCAAACATACTAAATACTCGAATCGACACATGACCTCATCTCGCGGAGGCCAGCCGGCCTCTCGAGTCGCAGAAGCAAATACTTAAGCCAGGTGTCTGGAGCATGAATCAGCAGAGCCCAGCTGGAGAGATTTGTTGATCGCGACGCACGTCCCCCAACACTTCTGCTACCAGGCGTAATTTTCCCGTTCCGCTTGACTACAAAATGGGAATGCTGCGTCCGCAATATAGGGTGCTATCATATGTCTTGTCGTAAACACCGAGTGCTTGCGGCAAGATTTGAACATTATCTCCCCGATAATCCCTACAAAAAGAGGCCTCCAGTTGGGCCCCGGCGTTGCTCCCTAATCCGCTAGGATGCATAACAAACCAAATAGATGGTGAGATGGCCAGAGGTTGACACTCTACTTCTAGTGCAAGTGATTCATGCAAGTCAAGTGGTCGAAGGATTTCTGATCAAACGATGAGGCGGGGAAACCAGGACCGAGAGGGCTACGAACTCAGACGCTGAACTTGTTGGGATGAGCGGATTTCTATAGTATTTCCTCGAGGAAGGGGTTATTAGGAATGAGAGCCATTGCTCGTTGAAGCGTGAGATGCCTTAGTCTCTAGTCATCGTTAGCGATGTAGAAGAGAAGGAAAGTTTCTTCTCCAATTCATCCAGGTCCTAACGAAGCAGCCATCCAGGCGAGACTTTGCAATAGATGGTACTCGGCTGTTTCCACCACTAAATCTGTTGGCGGAGATATCCTATCGTACATGTCACTGTAATATCAATGAGCCGTTCACTAAACATTGGGGGAGTGACCTGCTAACTGCGCAGCTTCATGCCTATCTGGGACTGAAAAGGGCCGCTCTCCCGTATTGGGTTCCAAATGAAGCAATGTAAGAGGCACGACTGCCTCACTGGGGCCTTACATCGTGGTCAATGCAAGGCCGCTTCTTGCCTCGACTCAGCTGCCTCTGCGTGTATCGTTTATAAGGGTTAGGCGGGCTTTCCAGCCTTCATGCTTCGACCCCTGGTTCACCATCGTCCATATCATTAGCGTGATGCTTGGCAACAAACAGCCGCCATCTTCCTCTCGAGGTCCGAAAGGAAAGGTTCCTGCCTACCAGCTCTCTACTCGTGGTCTACAGTCATTACGCACATCGGGGTCCTTGCCCCAAGCCCCTGAGATCCATATCACTGGTCCCCAGGAAACCCAGAACCGTAACAGTATCCGCAGGAACGGACAAGACGGATCAACAGGATCACATCCCGAGGAACCTCCTAGTGATTCGGAGATATCACCTTGTTGTATAACTGGGTGGCTCGGGCGTTGGCCAAGTCTCAATCGCCGTGACAGGCCAACTACACCCCACTTAGAACTGTCTGCGGTTCATCACCCAGTCCCTGATACCTCGCGGCTATCGCCATCTCATCTCGATCCCAAACAACCTGCTCGTTCGACGCGCAGCATCGACACTGCGCCCGACAGCGCTTCGAGCCTTCACTCACAACCAGAACGCGTGGAGTTGAACCCAGACGTGGATTCGTTGCTGGAGCCGGCTCCCGGAAAGAAGCCGATCATTATCGGTACCACGGAGCTTATTCTACAGGCCGCTGCCACCGCTCTTAAATTTTCTCCTATTCCACTTCTGAGCGAGATTCCGGGTCTATTGCTGACATTTCTCCAAGTTTACAAGGTTTGAGTAGCGTTCTAGTTTCACGATCGGCGATATGGCTTATGTTTGATTCACACAGACAGTTGACAGTAATGGCGAAAACCTCAAAGGATTAAATAATGAGGTCGTTAAAGCTTACACAACCATCCTGCGACCGCTCCAACTGTGGACAGGCGAGATTCCTCCCGAAGTAAAGGCTCTAATCAAGGAATTCCATTTGTGCGTATATGCGCTTCAGTTCCACACTTGATTTTAAACCACATGCACAGGGCTTTGGACGAACAGACGAAGCAGATTCGGGTACTTTCGAGTCAGAAGCTTGCAACGAGAATCGTTTCAGCGTCCGACGTAACCCAACGGGTATACAGCGTGAAGACTTGCATCAACGACGCTGTCACATCATTCTCGGTTTGTTCCCTTAGTGCCTCAAGCATACATGTTAGCTGATCGGAACATACCCCATAGACGGAGGCAGCGATTTTGACACTCCTTCACACAATTCAGTCTTCAACGCGAAGTACGCTTCTATGCACATCCTTTTGGACTCTTTGCTGAAGGACACTACCAGCCGAACTCTCAAGACTCCCACGGGTCCCTGCTGAGCACACCTATGTCACAGCCAAGTCAGAGTGCCTGGAAGGCACACGGGAGAAGATACAGGCGTCTATAGTCGAACATCTGAAGAAAGCAGGGAACAGATTCGTCTGGCTGCGAGGCTCACCCGGAATGGGAAAGACTGCGATTTCCCTGAGCATCGCGTCCGACTTGGAGAAACAGTGCATATTAGCGGCATCCTTCTTTTGGGATAAGAATCAACCGGGAACGGGACTTGATTCCATTAAACAGTTTCCCTCCACTATTGCACATCAACTTGCATCCTTCAATGAGGAGTTCAAGCTCTCACTTGTCAAACGTCTTCGGCAGCGAGGCTTTGAGCTGGTGCAGAATCTCCCTCTAGAGAAGCAAATGAGGGCTCTGGTTGTTGAGCCTATGGGTGATCTCAAGGATTTACTGTTGTCGAGCAAGGACCGCTTCATCATCATCTTAGATGGCTTGGACGAGTGCGGGGATCAGGAAGCACTTGGAACCTTGATGGAGCTTGTGCTGATGCTTCGCGCTTTGCCTTCCACATTTACTGTTTTGGTTAGTTCTCGCCCAGAACCGCAGGTTATCTCAGCATGGGTCGATGCTGAGGGTGGAGATTTCAACATCCCATGTGAAGATGTTGATAAGATTGGAGAGGAGACTTTGCACACAGTTCGCCGTATGGTGGAGGAGGGCCTTCGAGATTGTGTCAAGAAATCTGCGTGGAAGCCATCCTCGGAGGATTTTGATACCTTTGCTTCGGCTTGCCGTGGATTGCCTGTTATGGCCTCAATCCGCATACGTGACGTCCGCACTCGGACTCAACGCGGTTCCACTCTCAAGCGGGAGTTTGAATACCTTCACAATCTCAGAGATGCACCACTTGACCTAAAATCGGAGTATCTGCGAATACTGCGGCGAGCGTATATGTCTGACCAATCTACTATTCCTCCACACGTAATCGAGAATTATCGCCAAGTGATTGGGACGATCATTGCAGCACGTCGGCCGCTCAGTTTATATTCGATGTCGCAGCTCCTAGGGATAGCTGAGGATGAAGTCCATGCGACCCTAGAGCCGATCAGTTCAATTGTTGAGTTTTCCTCGGAGAAATCACGGTCCCTCCAAAGTTTGATGCGGGTGCTTCGACTTGATGCAGTGTACCCCAAATTCTACCACGCAACGATGAAGGAATTCCTTATGGATCGCCCGTTTGGTCATGAAAGTGACCAGTCATTCTTCATCAATGATTTGAAGGGGCATTTCTTGGGACCACCACTTCTTCGACTTGTAAATGACGTCATTGAACGGAATAAGTCCAAAATCCGTACTTTGGGAGATAGCAAAAAGCGGAAAGAGTTTCAGGGGAAGAAGCAGCCTGAACATGTCCAATACGCTTTCCGCTACCTGTTCTACCACTCGGATCCATCAGGACTCTCCAACGAATTCAGCAGCGAGTTTGATGTCTTCCTCACCCGAAACTTACTTTCATTCTTGACGCTATCACGATTTGATTTCGAGTTGCCCGATGAATTGCTTCGATCTAACGTAAGTTTGACTTCATTCGATTCTACTGATTCCTCGACATCACTTTTGCCTTGCAGAATCACAATTTGACCAAATGGTTTGAAGAAGTCAAGAGGGTGAAGGATATAATGATTAAAAATGAACTCAGCTCCTCCCCTTGGCATATTTTTCGGTCAATTCTTCCCTTCACTCCATCCTCATCCCCACTTTTCAAGTCATATGGACATCTCTTCGAACCCGTTCGGATTTTCAGCATCACTGGAGAATTCTTTGGCCGTTCAATTCCATTAAGCGTGGATACCCTTAGTGCTCAAAGGGTTATGGAGGCGAAACTCAATGCGTTACTGATAGAGGTTGGTAGATCTGAGATGGATAAGACGGATAGGATCGATCATAGCGCTGAATTTCTTGATCCTGATATTCGTAACGGTATTGTGACCGCTGCAGCACTCTCACGAGATGGCTGCTACATTGCACTCGGCTTTGGGAACGGCGTTATTGAAGTTGCTGACATTGACCGTCAACACACCGTCACTCATTTCCAATGTGATCCACCCAATCTTCCAGCCTGGATTGAATTTATCTGTGGCAGCCACCGGATTGCCACTGAAGATAACGAGGGAAACATCACGGTCTTCAGTCATGGTTCGCCGTCTGTGAAGGTCGGTGCCCTCCCCAGTGGGCATCACCCTCCCGTTACTCTGGTCGCAGACAATGGCTCATTCATCATACGAGTTCCTCGGAACATTGACTGCAGTTGGTACGAAAGTATGGCCATCTTACATGTCTCGGATGAGCCATCCATCCACCCTCTTTCCTCTCCTCGTTCCGTTACTCCGGCCTCCAGGTCAGCTGTGCCTGACCGTTGCACACTTGGACTCTCCCCCAAAGGATGGTACGTCGTCGTCCATGATGGCCATAGTATCGCTATTTGGTCAACAGAGACACACGAGTTGGTTCATTTTCACGTACCTGAATCCACACTTCCCGCCTGCTACAACATATACCCTCGTCCACATCTCATGACCCAACCCCGAAGGAAAATTACTCCGCACCTGGAGAATGACATCCCTCGTGGTCAGAGCCTCATGGCTGGGCATGATGCGGATCTATTGTGGCTGGAGCGACTATCCGAGCTTTCATCAAGGACAATGGCTTTTGCTATACCTCTGTATGGTTATATGCTGGGGTCTACAACACAGACGATCTGGTTCAATGGTAAACTTGAACTGCTTCTCCCATCAGAATACCGCCCGATCATTCTTGAAGGGGACCGTCAAAAAGTATGGTATGGGGATCGAATGCTGAGGGATAAGTATGGCCTCTACCTTCCTTGCGCTAGCAAAGATGGAACTCGATTCTTGGTCCAAGGTCGTATGCGAGCCCCGATTGTTGTCGATATTAGCCAAGTTGTCTAGTTCTTTTGCGGTGTTTACTATGATGCTTTTTTTCCTTCATTGTTTGCGTCCCGTTGTACATGTGCATTACTGTATTTGATCGAAAGTCAGGGACGAGCACTACATTATCCACAATATCTATGAACCTTCATCTGACAGACCCAGCAAGAAGAGCTTGTTGGGCGCACAGGCCTGCTCGGTCTCATATAGAACTATTATGTTCGATAGATCTTACGGTGATGGCCATTATTTCCTGCCCCCCAGATTCTCGTTCATAATATAATATAGTGTTGTAAATACCTATGTCGCATAACTGCGACATGGGCGATACAAGAGTTAATGTGTAGAAAGTAAATAGTGACTCTCACCTCAGACTCGATTAACGCGAGAACTGATGGAGAGGAGTTCCAAAGATTCACCCATTTTATACCTGACCAACGCTCAGCGGCGAGATTGTCGTAATGGACGAAAACAAGGGAAGGGAAAACAAACAAGCAAGAACTTTGCCAAAGCTCCCTGCCACTCATTGCCCTTTCGATGTAACTCGGCTGTTCTCCAATCCTGCTATTCGGGGTCTTTTGACAACGCAGTCGAGACCAGCGGATAAACAAGGCCATCGTTAGCCCTTGATCTGAACAGTGGCACCGAAGCACGAGAAAGTGATTTATCGGTCCCGTTGCCTAGACCTGGCCCTAGTCAAGCCCCATATTGCCATATATACACCAAACATGCAGCTCAGAAACGTGTCGTACGTTCCTGATATTCCGGTTTGTAAGATTTCCCCTGAGAAACCCGAAGCTGAGGTAGGGATCCTGCTTGAAACAGAGGATAATTTCATCGTCACAATGCAGATATCGTGTTGTGAGGTGACCTGCGGTCGATTGAGAAAGAACAATCCAGGCTGGTCAACCCTCTCTCGGAGACCTTAAGAGGTGGGGTATTTGGCTGAATAAAATAGGCCTAATAGGCCAAAACGAGGCTGTATATCCAAGGTATACAAATCCCAAAGTGCGGCGAACCGGGGAAAGTTGCGCGAACATTCATGTTGTTGTTTATTCTGGATATTTAACCTGCAAACTGTAGGCTGCTCGTGAGAGCGCCAAGGGCAGGGGTCGAGATAAATACACAAAAATAAGGTGAGAAAATAAAGAAATAAGTCCGATTCGGGTGTCCTTAATCTCTCTGATAAGGCGTTGCCCAAATGCTGCTCCACTTTTGAGTTGTCGTGTTGGGTTGACCGTTTTTAGGTGTCGGTTTCGAAAATGGGATGGGTTCCGCCTTCCAGCGGTGTCATATCTCGGGGTGTGTCTATTCTGTCCTTCTCTCTTTCTCGTATGCTCCACTCGCTGACAGAAATCCCGCTACCCTCTCTATTCCTTTCTCGTCCACCAGGAGGTCGGCAAGGATCAGTTCACCTTCATCGTCTGGGAGCAAGTTTCGGCGGTGTTCGTGCTTGGGACATTCGAGAAGTATGTGTTCTCTCGTTTCTACGGGTTCTCCGCATGTGCAACTGGGGTTCTCTTCTGGTAGGAAGCGTTTGTAGAATTGTCCGATGAACGCATGGCCGGTGCGAAGCTGTACTAGGCGGCTGAAGGATTTGCGGGAGTGGGACTTGAACCGCTTTGTTGGTCGCAGTTGCGGTTCTATGCGGTTACAGCTTCGGTATTCTGATGGCTTTTGTTGTATAGGGTCAGTGTTCCAGCGAGAGATCCATTCGTCCTTATATTGGCGTTTGTTTAGGTTTCTCATGAATGCCGCTGAGGTACTGTACGGGTATTCGGACGGCAGGTTGGAGCCTTCTTTGGCTAGGGTGTCTGCCCGTTCGTTCCCTTTGATATCTTCGTGTCCTGGGACCCACTTTATAATTACGTCGCAGAGGGGGCGTTCTGAAAGAAGGAGGAGGATGGTGTTGCGGAATCGGAGTGATTGTTGGATGTCCAGTCCTGGGGACGTGGCCATTATGCGCTGGAGTGCTCCAGTGTTATCGGAGAAGATTGAGAGGGTGAGTTTGTCTCCTTTTTGGTAGTGCTCGTCGAGCCAGATCTTGAGGTTAGCTGATCCTTGCGCTAGTCCCTCCATTTCCGCATCATACACCTCTGCTCTAGGTCCTGTTCCCCCCTTCCCTTCGAATATGACACGCGCCTTTTGGTAGGCTGCAAACCCGTATCCCGTTTTTCGGATGCCCTGGTCGTGCGCAAGTGAGCCATCGGTGTATAGTAGGATGTGGGACTCATCGCGTTTCCATTTTTTTAATCCGTTCTTGTGTTCCTTCGCCCAGGTCTTTTTGGCTGATTCTCCTGGTTCGTTGGTTGGTATTTCTATCTTTACTCTTCCTTCTAAGTCGTCTATTGTTTTTGCCCATGGTGGTGCTGGCCATAATGTTGTTGGTTCCATTTCTGTTTCGATTTCTTTTGCCATTCTCCAAATTTGCGTGCTATTTTGGTCTTTTTCTTTTCTTTTTTCCTGTTTCTCTTTGTTTTTTTAGGTTTCTTCTTTTAGGGTGTGGTATCGGGATGGGGGGGGTGTTCATGTCTGAGGGGATGAATATTTGCTTTTTGGGGGGTATGCGGGATATGATTGGGTTATTGGTATCGAGTCTGGCGAAGCGTAGGGTGGCTCGGCGGATTATGTAGTCTAGGGTGATGTCTATTGGGGGGATGCTGCATTCTAGTTCTAGGGCATATGTTCGGGTGGTTCGGAATGCTCCTGAGATGAATCGTAAGGCTATGTTTTGGACTCGGGTTAGTAGCTGAGAGTGGGATTTCTTGTTGCGCCACCAGGTTGGGGCTCCATATGTCATCATGGGTACAATGGCCCCTAAGTAGATCAGACGTCTCTGTGTTTGGTGCATTCCACTGACCGAGTTCCCCAATATGGCTAGGGCGTTGGCTGCTTTTGTGGCTTTGGCACATACTTTACGCACATGTGGGGTGAATGATAGCTTGGTGTCCCATGTAATACCGAGCCATTTGATCTCCTTTGAGTGTTTTATGGTGAAGCTTGGGCGATTGTTGCGTGCTGGTATGTTAAGGTCAAGATGGGTTTGTCTGGAGTGCGTGAAATGGATGAGCCCTGTTTTGAGTGTGTCTAACGACAGGCCTCTGTCTCTAACCCAGTTCTCTGCGGCTAAGTACGAGTATCTTGCCAATTTGATGTTGGTTTCAATAGTCTTAGAAATGATGAGAATGTTGCCGTCGTCTACATAAAGAATTGTGTTGGTTTGTTTTGGGGAGTCTGATAGTATTGAGTTTTTGGTTCGTGCCGGGAGGTTTTCTACTTTGGCGGCTGAGTTGATAGCATTCATCAGGGGTGCTGAGAAATAGGCTGCTAGGACGGGTGAGACACAGCTGCCTTGGGGGATGCCAGTTAGTGTGGGTTTCATCTCATCTTGGATGCCATCTAGGATTAGCGCTGTGCGGCGGTCACTTAGGAAGGATGCCACCCATTTCACAATGGGGAGGGGGATTTGCTTGTCGCGCAGTGTGTTGAGGAGGTGGGGATGGGAGACGAAGTCAAAGAAACCGGTGATGTCAAAGGTGAGTGAGGTGGCCACTAGTTTGTGGTTGAGCGCGGCCTCAATGTCGTGTACAACTGAGAGGGTGGCATCATCTGCTGACCTGCCCTTCATGCCGCCAAACTGGTTAGTCGGCAGGAGTTCATGCTGGCTGGCATAGTATGATAAGTGGTTAGATATTATTCTTTCAATTACCTTTCCTAGTACTTCTAGGAGTTGTATGGGTCTGTATGCGCGTGGGTGGGTGTAGTCCGGTTTGTTGGGTTTGCGGAGGGTTATAACTAGGGCATCGTGAAATTGGGCAGGGTGGTAGCCAGTTTCTATGGCTGCTTGGATGATTGACGTAATTTCTTTTTCGGCCACGGTCCAGGCTATCTTGTAGGCGATGCCACTTAGTTCGCTGGGGCCTGGGGCATTGTACGATGCCGCTTTGAGTATGGCGCGTCTGATTTCTCCCTTTGTTATCGGGTCCCATGGGATATCCTCTTCGTTGGAGTTGAGATTTATGGGGGGTGGGTTGTGGATATCCGGTGGGCAGGGGAGGAGGTGGGTGCGGAGAGTGTTGATTTTGTCTTGGTGGGTGATCGCGTGGGGGAGGTTATTGCCGCGGCTTATGTGTGGGGTGAGGTAGTTCCGGGATCCTGTGCTCCACTGTACTAGGGGCCAAAAGTTAGAATTATTAGTGTTTCTGGCCACTTCAGTGTAGAACGCTTTTTTTGTCTTTCGGAATAGTCTCTTGAACCGAGCTGCTGCGTGTTTCATGTTGTTCTTGGTTTGTTCTGTTATGGCACCCGTTGCTGATTTCTCCACACGGGCTAGTTCTCTGGTGTTCACTATGTCTATTCTGGCATTGGTTAATTCGATCGACCAGAAGGGTTTGGCACGCTTGTGCGGTTTCCTCCGTGGGCAGTTCTCTTCTGCTGCTTCTCGTATGTGGTTTTGTAGCTTCTCAACTGCTGAGTCAATTTGTTCATGTGTCGGAAGTTGGTTGCGCCAGTTGAGGATTGGTTGGAATGAATGTTGGTATTCATGGGTGTTTAGGCTGAGTCTTTTTTCGATCGATTTGGCGAAGTTTGTTTGGTCTAGTTTTCTCCACATGAATTTTTCTGGGTGTTCCGGTTCGATAGTTTGGGCTGTATCTAGGTTCAATCGGAAAGTTGTAGTAAAATGGTCGGATCCGCAGTTGATTGAGGGGTCAATAGTCCAGTGGCTGATGACATCTTGGTGTGTGGCTAGGTAGTTAGTGAACGTCAGGTCGAGTGCTGATTCTGAGGAGCCGTCGTGGGAGATCCGGGTGGTTTGGTCCCATTCATTAATTAGGTTTAAACCGTTTTCATGGGTCCATTCCGCTGTGTGGGTGTCTCTGGGAGTGGCTGCCCGGTTTGCTGGTAGTTGGTTGAAGTCTGGATGGTGGGTGTTCCAATCTCCTGTGAGGATTGTGGGGGTCAGTGGATCAAGAGAAGTGGCACATAGAATGTCTATCGAGTGCATGCCTGCTTGCGAGTCTTGCAGGAGTTGGTTGTAGATATTGTATATGCGGATGCTCTGGTTGTTCCTTTGTACCGATATATCTAGGATCTGTATGTCAAGGTGGTTCAGTATGTCTGTTCTGGGTGTGATGATGATACCTGAGTTTTGGCACAGGTATGCGAAAACTCTAGGTCTTTCTCCTTCCTCTATGGGATTCGCTGTCGGGAGGATGGGTGTCCATCCTGTTAGGTTACATGATAGCCATGTGTC